AATGTTGAAGATCCTCACACCACTTATGGGAGAACGAGAACTTTGTCTGTACATTTACAAAGAGCCATCTTGGAGAGACGCTATCAAAAAAGACATTATATCGACTGTCAGAGGGGTGAATGCGAACGATTGGCAAAATTAGTTTCCTTCTCTCCGGAACAGGTAAGGGACTGAGGGTTGTCTGATTTTACCACGCGGAGTCAGAGGAAAAAATGTTTCCCTGTTTCTTTTTTTTCAAATTTTTCTACAAAATTTCATTTAAATTACAAATATGGGCTTCAATAGAACAAAATTGTCCGCTCACGACGGGACACAGACGTTTTCAAATTATGCAATGTTCAAATCTGAAGCATGAATGCTGGATAGTGAAGAAGGATTAAATGGTTCAAGGAAAACTAACGTTCCGTTTTAATTTTCCGGTAAAATAGCGTGGAAAAAGTTTGTATGCGCAGGATGAGTGAAAATTAAAATTCCGAAAACAAATCAGGTACGCCGTCGGTTTTTTCAGAACACATTAAACTCCGCATGGAAGTTATACACTTTCGTGCATTAGAATTCCAAAATTATAATTTGTTTTTATCTTCGTTGCAGATTAAAAACTGGTTCTCGAATCGACGAGCTAAATCGCGCAAGCAGTCGAAGTGTCAGCAGAACAAACAGAGCTTGGGCGACTGTTTGAATGAAAAAATACTCGGCGATGCTAAAATTGTGAGGTTGATTGACTTCTTACTGGGAGACGCCCTGAGTGAAGGTACATATACAATAGCTTCAGAGGTTGGAAAATTCATAGTGAATGTCGTCCACGGCAATACAACAAACAATAATCTATCAATGTGATAAACATTAATTTCAAAGTGAAAAACGTCGCTCTCAATTAGTAAACCTGGAGAAAAGTCCTGTTTTGAGAAAAAAACAGTTACACTGTAATGTTATTCTTTTCAAGCGTCAAAATTGAAACATTCTCTTGGTCAAAACCTTCGTGGTTTTTTATTTGGTTTTCAAGTCTGAGACATTGATCCTAGGACTTTTTCGGTTTTCGAAATATACCTAGACCGCCTGCGAGCTCACGGAACATGTAAAACCGATAAACGTTATTCCTTCCTGGCATTGAGGAACTTTAATATTTTTCCCTTTATTTTAACGCGGGATGAGCAACCCTTTGAACGACGGCAGTCTAAAAATTTAGTAGATGAAAAAATTAATCTAAAAAACCACGTTTTGAAAAAGGGAAAAATAACCTTAAAGGTGGTGTTGGGAAGTGAGCAAAATTTGAGTTGCAAAATTTGATCTGGACAAACAAACGGACAAGAAAGCAAGTTAATGAAAACATGTTAAAAAAAAGAAGCACATGACAGTCAAAACGTGGGAATCGAGACTCAGCTTGATAAGATCTTCTTCAATTGCAGGAAATTCCGATGATGCTCTGTCAAGTCAACTGTGGGAAGAAATGAAGCGACTGCTCATATCTTACGCAATGCGCCGAATTGAGACTGAACAAAATGAACTGCATCTGCTTGACCTAGTGAACCCACGTACTCATAATAATATGCAACCAACGACAAAACCACCGCGGATCGAAGAAGTACCTCCGGCTCCACCGGAATCCACAGAACCATTTCCCGGACCTTCACAGCGAATGAAGACATTATTTGGCTCCATTCAACGGACGTCTGCTGAGGATATTAATGATCAGCCATCTGAGGAAACGGATGTACTAATAACTGGAGTAGCTCAGAGCTTGAAACTCAAGTGGATTGGTGAACCCGTCAATTTACAGAACACCAGGGAGAAATATAGCTTCTCCTCTCCTGATTTCTACATGCTGGGCGGAATACAGAAAATGGGATCACTGTGTCCTGAAAAAGTAGACGGGATTTGTCGGCGAGCCGTGCAGAAACAATGTCAAGAGAATCCTCTTCCTGTTGGACCAATTGGACAGAGAAAGAGTCGAGATCCTGCTTTCAAACATCCAGCAGGAGGATACGTGAATAGTGCCGATGAGCCTGTGAATGATCCCGTTTTTGGACAAGTGCATCATCGAGCAGCGTTGCAGTCACACCTTTTCAATTTGCAACACGCTGCATCAATGGCTGAAGGAAATTTGACTCAAAGTACCCCCATTAATCAGAGTTCAGATCAAATTCAACCTTACTTCCTCCTTTCAGCGATTCAGGAGGATATTAGTGCCATGGATGACATCCAGTACGAATCACTAGCTGCGGAACTGGATAGGTTGTGCGATCTTCTTGAGGAGCAACGGAAGGATGGCGGAACCTTTGACTCGGAAGACAAAATCCACATTTTTGAGAATCTTTCCAGGCAAAATCGTCTCTCAGCTAGCCGATTCGTCGAATTGAAGCAAGAAACGAGTGAAAAACTTCAGAGGTTGATTGAGTCGAGTTCCCTGAAACAAATCGTGGGCAGTGATGCGGATCAATCGCCCAAAAATTCAGAAACTTGGATTACCAAAAATCAAACCTTGCGATCCAGTCAAGCTTTATCACAAGAGCCCCAGACTCCTTCTTTCAAATTAGTGCCATCAAAGGAAGCTTCACATTGGAGGAAATCATTCAATAATCCTGCCGACACAGTCGATGAAATCGGCCTACTCGTTTCGCCGGGTGTGGTTCCATCAAATGATCAAGATCTGATTGCAATTGTGGCACAAACTCTCGAACCGATGCAAGACAATACTTCCCTGCAACGTTCCAAATCCAGACATGAAGATTATTGCTCATCCCTTGGAAAATCCAGTCGCAGAGTTGTTCGCAACATTAACCCCGTTTCTCGCGATGGAGAAACATTTTCATCGGAAAAAACTTCAACTTCTCACAACGTTAGTGTTTTTATTGTCGAGGATTTGGACTCTGGCAGGACACAGGAAATGGCCCCTACTTCTCAGCAACAAGACATGGGTTTGTTTTCCTCCCGAATTCCGGCAAATAATTCAGAGAATCCAGGGGTTGAGTCATGGGAACGCGAGTTTCGCACTTTTGTCGGGCAATCTGACGCTTCGACGGCGCCGGCAGGGACCAGAATGAATCAATATTCTGTTTCTTCTGTAGGTGTCGCATCTTTGTCAAGAAAAGTATGCGCTGCTGACGCCGCGCTCGATGCAGCGACCGAACAGCAAAGTCACGATTCTTTTTTTATTAAGCGGGGATCATCCGAAGGAAATTCAATTCCTCAACAGCTTTCCAGGGGTCGTCCAAAGCCATCATCTTCAGCTGAAAATCCGAGGTCGAAGCCATATTTGCATACGTCTCACGACTCTCACCAAGTTCAACGCATTGGCGGAAAACGACTACGAAACTCATCCTCGATAAAAACCACGACTCTTCAGCAAGGGAAGAATAGATCGGCTATGACTACTGCCAAGGCTACTGCATTCCAAGTCAGCATCGAACCAGCTTCTCCAGAAAAGGCCTCTGAAAAATCGGATGAAAGCTTCCTCGATGATTTTGTTTTCGATATGTTGATAAGTCCAAAAGATGATGATTTTTCTCACGATTTTGATGCTCGTGAATTCCTTGATTCATTCGAATGAAAAGCTTGAAGAACTATATTTTCGCTGAAACTTGGCATGTTTCACAGAATTGTATCCCGTCATGCGGCTCCTACAAAGAGTTGAGTTGTGCAATATAGTATAGACATTTTCAAACAGACATATTTTAATTCTCTTTTGAACATGTAAAGCAGTTATTCCTCAGTATATGTGCAGAATAATAAAGAAGAGGTCAGAAGTGTTGGAATGAGCCAATTAGGATGAACCGGACGAACACCTGTCAGATATTTTCGGGTTCCTCAGTTCCATCACCACCTCCGGTATATCTCAACCTTTCGATGTTATGAACGTCTCCTCTTCAACATGCAGATCTTCCTCCGAGTCTCAAACGTTTCACACGCATACCCATTGTTTTGCATCATTTATTTTGAAATCCTTCAAATGCTCGGCTCCTGGAATATACAGTGCACCTTCACATGAGACAGAAGATTTGACTTTCAGGCACTTTAAACTGGGATTAAATCAGACCCCCATCTAGGCAAATGTCTCAATATACTATGGACTTCGCCAAAATTTTCAGAGAAATTAAAATAAGGAATTTTTCGAAAATTTGATATCCTTTAAACGAATTGAATTTTCGCCATGGATATAAATTCAAAATAAGTCTCATTTAAAAGTATCTTATTCATTTTCCAAAACAAGGTGATTTCGTGCTTCACTTTCTCTGTTAAGTAAGAAAACATTTTCAACTGAGTTGTTCGGATAGCTTTTTTAATTGTTTGCCAAGCACAAAAAGTGATTAAAATGATCCCAGTGAAGTCCTTGGAAAAATGTTACCTGAAATACGTAAATTCCAGCATATATGGACGCAGTAAGCAATTACGTCTACATCTTGGAGATGTAGACGTAATGTAGACCAGCTAGTGTTCCCAACCTTTTTGTGCCTGCGGACCGGCAAATTTCCATACAATTTTTGGCGGACTGGCAAATTCCGAAAAACTGTCTGTGGACTGGTAAAGTTTCATAAAATTTGTACAGGCTGGAAAAAGTTTTGCTTGATAAACTTTATGGCACGTAGTTTTTACTTCTAGCAAAAATTAAGGTAAGCACCTATGAAGCAGCTATAGCTGAATCTCATCAAAAACTTGGAAAGGTGAAAATTGAAATAATTTGTTTCAGGAGGTAAAAATGTGTCAGAAGTACTGTCATTAGGATAAAAGCCAACTTTCAAGTTCCATCAAATGCTTTCAATTGCCTGTCTTTCAAAAGTTTTAGATAATGACAAAAGAGTTATTTTCTACTTCGAACAAGTGTATTATGCTGATTATTTCCTGCGGACCAGCAAAAAGCATCTGCAGACCGGCGCTGGTCCGCGGACCACGGGTTAGGAAACACTGATGTACACTGTACCTGCGCTCCTTTTTTTTGTGATTACTGATGAAGGTGAGCAACTCAAGACCGAAACGGATGCAAATAAATTTGGTGATGCCATGGATTATATGAAGTTTCTCTTTATGTTTCCCTCTCCACATTCAATTGCCAAAATTCAAGCTACACACCAAAAACAACTTGTCGCCTCACGCCGTCATTTTCTCGTTCCCGACCTCTCGAAAAAACATTGGATGCATTGGCGCCACAGAATGACACGTGGTGCTCCGAGCCCGGGGGCCCAACAGAGAAAACCAAACATATGCGTGAGACCACTTTGAGTAGAAATGTCAAAAGCCTTGCCTGGCCTTCCGAGGCAGCGTCGTAATAACAACAGAAAAAAACATTGTTGTAAACATCAGTACAAGAAAATCCCTCGGCCTGCAAACAGCCCAACCACAGAAAGGAATCAAAGTGACAGTTCCCACTGGCCATAGCGCGTCGGTGAGGGGAGGCCCGAGACGAGTTAGGCGGGAAACCAACAGCAAAAGCAAATCGTACGAGCATGTTGGATGCACCCTGATCTTCTGCACACGACACAAATTTTCATTAGCGCCATCAAAGGTGGGTTACAGCAACAACACTGAGAGGACACCAGCAAGAGAATCATCCTACAGAAGAAGAAATGCAGTGCGCTTCTTTACCCACGAATCAAATGTCACCCAGATCCAACCCACACCTAAACATAGAAAAATATGTCTAGCAACAGCCAAGAAAACTAAATTCTGTCAACAAACATCGCTCACCATTGGACGTCAAGCAGGATGTGGTTAACATGCATGTTATCCGGTGTTATTACAGAAACTGTCGCCTAGGATGAACCCGGTGTTCGACGAAATGCCAGATACGCGTAAACTCGGCTAGGTTCTCCTCAACACATAACTGGACGACAGCAAGGGAAGCAGAACACTTACCAAACATTTAAACATGCATGACTCACATCCTCACGCAGGAGGGAGTAGTCAACAACCCGGTAACACTGTTAAATTCCATTCCCATCATTCACAAGTTGGAAGCATCTACTTTTTAGTTTACTCTGTGATATGCAGGAAACTCAAGAGGGGAGCGGGACCGGAAGCGGCAAAGGAAAGAAAACCATCGGTGACGCTGATATGCAAGGCAATAAACAAAAGAAAAATCACAGCGAATTCAAGCTCGAAAAATAGCCCGTAAAATGAAACGTGATAGTCCGTCTCTTTACACACGCAGAAATACTTGATCCCAATCCCAGAACTTCTCTTCATATATAGACTCTTCCTCAGCGTAAAATCTCATCCACGCCAAAAAATATTCGGTTTGCGGGAGCAACCTTTAAAAGTCGATATTCCTCTCCATAAAATTCCGGTCCAACGTCAGTTCATCTTGCTCAGGGACGGTGGAGAACAGTTTGAGCTCTTCGAACCACTAGTTTATTTTTCCCAAATATATCATCCTCTCAACCAGCCGCCGGCAGCGCTTTCTTTTTAACAAGGAATTTATTTAGGAACCTCAGTTCGGGAAAGGCCGACAAGTCCTGCACCTAGTTCACCAAAAGTTTGTTTACAACCACAAAATGAGGCTACCGCGGGATAAATGCCAGCCTAGAACCCATTAATTCGCTCTCTTTTCTTTTTTACAAATCCTTCTCGGAGGTTTGACACGCAGCACCGTGCCCAGTTGCTGTACACAGGCCGTACTGAGATTTCCAGCGGAACGGACTGAGCTGCGTCACACCCAAACTAAACATGAGAGCGGCCTCGTCAACAATTCAACAACCGGCTGCACAGTCACCCAACTGACCATAGCTGAGTCCCGAGGTTCCTCGGTGCAATAAAAATCTTTCTCATCTCTCAGCCTCACAATAAATAAGTTCACTTCAGCAAGTTGAGAAGATCATCGTCAATCTGAAAGTTGAGTGGCACACCGCGTTCGATGAGTAGCACAGCTCTTTCTTGAAGGTAATCTTGTAGGAAGAAAGACAGTACAGTGCAGTAGTTTCAACGCTGCAACTCACCTAGAGAGAAGTATGGTCAGCTTTCGAAAGTTCTTCTTCGAAAAAAGTTTGATTCGAGTTCACAGGGTTTTATGCGTGATTTGTCGCTGCATTCGAGGGTCAACCGAAGAACTCACTTCTGAATTCAAATTACAATACTATCGAAATGCATAGCTTTACCAACTTATTCTGGAGTTCTTCGGAATAAGTTTTGCTGCATTTTTTTTCTCACGACGAAACTGTCGGTGACTTTAAGATATTTCCAGAGTCATTTAGTTGATTTTTAGCACATAGAATTCCCCGAGCAATTTGAAAAAATGTGCCGGAGTTCACCCCACTGCACTGACTTAAATCCGAGAGTGAGTCGAGATGGCTTGACCAAGTTCCGTAACTTGCCAAAGTGAACTCGATTTCGGTACAAAAACTTCAAGGTGAAAAACGAAATCAAACATTGCCAGCGACACAACACAAATCCTCGACACCCAAACGCGACATTTCTTACAGGAAAGAATTTTTTCCCAACACTTCGATCCGTATTACGTCCTTCGATTTGAACTCGAAAAAATAAGCTTGCGTCTGAAAGTCCGACAAGCCCTTCAATGATCGCATCAGCACTGTCGTTCCGACGAGCTTTCTTTCACCTGACAGCCTGCTAGTCGGACGAGGTTTTCAAAAAGACCAGCTTCGAGATCGCGGAAAAAAAAGCGCAGAAGTTCCAGCTGGGTTCCAGAATTCCCTGTGCAGTCTCTCAACGGAGAGTTACGCATTCTGTGCAGAACCAGTGGTCACGAAGCATTGATTGGAAGAATACAGGACCGCTGAAACGTTTCGCGTTTTCCACTGTCACCAGCAGCGACTGCCGTAGGACAACGACGTATGAAAGCAAATATGAACAAGAGGAACCTGGCCCCATGCGCAGCCGAGACATCCCCAGTGTCGCATCCAACAAAAAATATCTGAACACGAACATTTGACAAGCGCATCCCCCCTTTTTTCAGGGTTTTCATCCCTTCACACACGTCAAACCGATCAACACTCGCCTATGTTCTCAGAAGATGAGTCGCGCTGACATTGAGCGACCGACCTTAATGAAACAAAAATTCGCGACTCATTTTCTTTAACTTTTTTTCGTTTTTTTTCTGCGATTCTTGGAGACGCCACAGCAGTTGCTCCGGAGTGCTCATAAGATTAGGTAGCCCATCCTTCGATCCGTTGTCGTTTTGCCAAATGCTCGTACGAGTCGGAAGATGGGTGCCCGCCCATTGGTTCTGGCGATGGATTCGGAACTGGAGTCAAATGACCTGCAATGATCCAATCAGGATTACAGGTTTGCTCATGTCCGAGTAATTGCAGCGCAAAGTTGCAGCACTGCGACAGAAGTTGACCCGAAAGATAGCATCGAACACGTATTCGAATCCGTGCCGTCCATACTTTCAGGTTCCTCCAAGAGATTTACCTAGCTGACATTTGAAGAATGTCCATTGCAGAACCTTTCTACGAGATTAATGTGGTTGGATCGAACCATTTTAGCTGGCTATGATTCGATAACCCATCAATACACACATTCTGTTCAACACCTTTCAGATTTATTTCTCTCGGGGAATTTACTGAGCTACTGCTCCAACCTCCAAGGAATGAATCGTTCAGTCATTACACGGGACTGGTTTGCGCAGAAGTAGGGACGATCCTCCCAGCACACGCCGAAGAAAATTCAGCTCCGTAGAAATTAACGATAAATTTCTTCTAACTTCCATTTTAGAGCATGGATGAGGGAATGGAAACATATTGAAAATTAGTGACCGGTTCTTTCCGTTTTGCTTAGCAGAAATCGAACAAAAGAATACCCAATTAGTCAGCTGACACCTTCACAAATAATGCGTGATTTAATCGAATAAGTCTGTACGCCATTGCAATGTCTATAACGAAAGCAAATGCGTGTTTCATCAGCGCCGTCATCTGCTTCTAAAAAGACTCGCAACGAAGCAACTGATTGTCTCCCGAAGTCATTAAATAAAAATTAGGCGATAAAAGATGAAAATTGCCGACGATATGTTTGCCATATAGGAAGATTCTTAATGCAGACAAAATTATACACCGCCGTTCCAAAACAAAATTGCATCATACAGTATATCATTGCCGCATTCTTCTCTTTCAATGTTCGAATACTTATTTCTAAGGCACAGGTCTTACTAGCTGTCAGAGGAAAAGTCAAAGACATTCGATGAATTAGGATAAGAATTTGTATCTTCTCCAAATATCATAAGTTAAGGAAGTGGTCTGAGTTTGTTTTTTGGCCCGTTTTATTCTTCGGGTGGGGTCTGGATATACAGTACTACGACGAATCCAGTGACACAAGGTATCATGATTCATGACTACTGTAATAAAATAAACGAGAACGTCGATTATTCCGGCGTTGAGTATTCCGATTCCTTTCTAGGAAACAAAGCGACCAGTTCGCATCATCAAACAAATTGTGATTGAGTCCTTTCATCCCCTCGATTTCCATTCATCATCTGCACGCATGCACTATGTAATTTTCGAGGGTCAGGTAGTTCTAGAATCCGTCTTACTCCAAGTATGAAAAGCTTTCAACAGTTACAGATTATATTAACTGAGTTATACGGTAAGCACGCGGGATGATCCGAAATACAGGCGGTCGAGGATTCATGCTTCAAGGTCCAAAATTAGTTTTTTTACGGGGTCGGTTAATCCAATCGTTGGCAATTTGATTTTGAAGGGCTCAGGCAGAGTGTGAAAGAAATTAATTTCGAGTATGAAGGATGAAAGATGTAGGACTGTACATACCTTGACTGGCTTGTGCGCTCAGCGAGACCGGTGAGGGCGACAAATGCCCGCCGGCAGCGGAGTTGGGCCGGTGATGCTGCGGCCTCAACGTGTCCATGCCCGGCGAAATTGCCTGGTGTAGGTGGTGGCGATGCAGTCCGTGAGGCGGGGAAACCGGCTCCGATTTCACAGTCAGGTTTGCCACCATCGGGGAAGGCGGCGACGAGGCACCCATGCCCTGAGGCGAGGATGCGGACGAGAAATTCAAATGCGGGATCGTCGTCCTGTCGAAACCCCTGGGCATAAAGAGGATATGGGTGAAATCAGTCCAGTCTCGTACAGTACAGTACTTGAATGCGTTCCGCCATCGCGGAACGTGGAAACCCTATGCCAAGCTGCGGCTACCCATTCTACTCTAATTTTAGACGCACTTTACCCTCGGAAATTGACCGGAAAAAATTTGGGTTTGAGAGTGTCTGGGGACCGCCGATGAAGTACATTATTGCGTCTGTGTTAGAGGAGCCAATCAAGAGCACTCCTGTGATTCGGAGGAAATAGTACGCCAGATAAGTTGATCTTAATTAGTTATTTTCCTAGGGGTTCTTTTTAGAAGCACACAAATAGGCACATCTTACAATAATTTCACTCAAATGAATGCGTTCGGATACGTAAAGTACAGTAGAACCTCATAACTAAGAATCTCATGTATAACGAATAATCAATTACAAAGAATTCATTTTAGATCCCTGTCCGTAAGCTGAAATGCTTTGAATTCACTTACAACGAATTTTTTTACAGCGAAGATATGTTACTTGTCACAATGGCTTCGTTGTAACGATATTTAATTGTCTGTAGATCCCCATCCGAGGGTAGCCGCGGCACTTTCATACGAAGACCTTTCATAACCCACTTTCCATAGGAGAGTGGGTCCAAGAGATATTTCCTCCATACGATATCCTTGTCCAATCCAATTCTTATATCATTCAGATATCTGACAGTGCACGGTGAGAGTAAATTAAATTGCCGTTTTATGTGCAGCATTTTGCCTCGAAAATTGAATGTTCTTTCGCGGTCTTTCTTTGACGCTCTCCCTTGAATTCTGTTCAACAGAACGATAGGTTTTCTTCTGTTGATCGAGTTTACTCTTCAAAGAAAATTCGAACTTTCGGAAGTAAGGCAGTATCACGTGTGATACATTTGACATGCAAAAAGCTTTTACTTTAAGGAAACTGCAAATTATGATTTTTTATGTTGAGGGAAAGAAACAGAGAGTAAAAATTGTTCACAAGCTTCTGCCCACATGATTACGTTTGAATTTTCAGATATTCATATAATGTGCCGGAGATTTTGGGAATCATAGGCATTATGGATTAAGGGTTCTGCGACTAACGAGTACTATTTATGCTCGAGTAAATATGACAGTTTAATCATTAACGCGCCCCCCCCCCCAATCAAGTCATTCAACCACAGCAGATACANCCCCCCCCCCCCCCCCCCCATTCAAGTCATTCAACCACAGCAGATACAGAATGGAATTCTTTATTTGTGTCACGATAGGTAAGTGTAGATCTGAAATTCGTATACGCCCGAAAAGGAAATCGCGATCTTTATGTGCGTAGGTGTTGACTTACGGTAAATTTTGTTTTCCAAGCAGAGTTTATAAGGACACTCTCCAAACGATAAAATTATACTGCGATCTTATTTGATCAACGCGATATAATCTACGATTTCTGCATGTTCATGTACAGTATACAAATGCGATGACTAAACTGGATGACTGCTCCATGCGAGAAGATGTATTGGCAGCTGGTCACGAAATAAAAAAGGCAAGTTTTCTTCGACCCTATACAGATTTTTGTTTCAAGAAATTTTATTCAATGACCTATTGTTGTCGCGTACAGCTCCCTACAAATTCTTGAGATGGGTTATGCTCTGTTCTTGCTAGAGTAGAATCTCGTTATGAAGACTTCGTGCTTCTAAAACAATTGTGTATAGTCCGTGATTCACGAGCAAACTTGTTTATTTTTTTATCGTAATTTGATTTATTGGTATCATAAAATATTTTGAAGTCGCCAAAGGCTTTCTTGTAAAAATATTTAACTTTTATTGCACCTAAATTCTAAATCCTATTAGCGTGGGAAGACGAGAGCGACATCTATGCAAGAGTCTCTCCGGGCGTGTCGACTCACCCTGACGACATCCCAAGTGCGGCGGCCAGCGGTACGTTTGAGTTTCCCCACGAGTGCAGCATGGTTGTGGAGTTGAGTGCCAATGTCGGGACGTCCGCTGTTATGCCGTGGTAGTCGCCGTTTGCGCCAGTATGTCCGCCGGATGGTCCGTTAGCCGCCCCGCTGCCCGGTCCGTCTCCGGTTATCGGGAAGGCTGAGTAGTTGTGGCTCGTGCCCGGCAGTGCGTTTGTAATCGTCAACGCACGGCTCTGTTCGTGGGGAGAAATAAAATGATTTCTAAAATTAGTACAACGCCGAAGATAGTTTTCAGATCAACTGGAGATAACTGTTCGAGTCCGGTAATTTTTCGAACATGAGAAGGGAACGACAAAACGTTTGCCCAAAATATGAAATCAAAATATTAGTGCACGCTTTGAATGGAATATTGCATTCATATCTGGTAAGAAACGCTTGTTCGTGCCCGCTAGACTGAATCACAAGTTTTTTTCAAGACAATCATTTTTTATCAAACCTTGAAAAAAGCGGTGAATTGCATTAAACCTCTTTCAAGAGGCTCCGTCAGCATTACGTGCCCAAAAAGTTTTGATGCATCACTTTTACACCGTATATTCCAAGGAAGTTGAAGAAGAGTTGTTTCAAGCATGCACCGTTGTTCTGATATGAATTAGAAAGTGTGAGGATTGAAAAGTCTGGGACACACATTTGACGGGCGTTCATGGATCGACAGAGACGCTACTTGCCACAGCACTCGCATGCAACAAAGTATTTGTGACGTACAGTACTTTCGTATGGCACGTTTCTTGACCCAAAAGAGGTCAAATATTTTTATATTATGTCAGTCTGTGAAGGAACGTTTTATGAAGGATTTACAGAAAATTATTTGAACTCGTCAATAACGTTTGATGTCGGTTCCGATCAATATAAGTGGCTCGGTTACGATGTTCTACCATCGGAATTGCACGAGGAACAACGTTCCACGCATTGACGCATTCAAGGATCAACCAGCTGTTCATTAAACATGTAAGCAACGAAGCGGATTAATATTTAATTCTGATTCGGGGAGTGGGCATTGTGGCCGAAGACAGACATACATTAAAAAATCTCAGAATCTATTAAAAATATCAAAATATTCAAACTATTCAATCTCTGTTGAGCGAGCACATTTTCAAACAATGATTAATTATAAAACAGTCCGTCAGTGTGAAACTTTTTCTCAACTCATGCGATAAAGTTTCTTTTACATGAAGCTCCACGAAGATATTTTTATTGGCGCGCAAATAACGCTTGAAAATATATAGCTTTCTGCAATGCTGAGAGATACAGACTCCAAAGCTAAGTTTTGAAAATATAAAAACTTGCAGGTAGGCAATACAAATGCTTCGGCACCCATTTCTCCATGTAATCCACGTTATCTCATGACAATAACGATCAGTATGGTCATACTGGACAGAATATCAATGTTTCCGTCAAAGACGGTGAGAAAAAATGAGAAAAAAAAACTTGATGTCGAAAATTTTAATTTTACTGTTTCAGACGTTAGAAACCGCGAGAAGAAATGATTTTCAAGTATCGATAATTTGGTTGATGAAAACATCATTACTGATACCGAAAGTAAAAACATGCCGTGCGTTTCAGAAATACTGTACTGTATTGTATCATTACGAAGAGTAAGGTACAATATATTCAATTAGATGGTCTCAAAACTAACTGGAAAACGATACGATTTCAAAAAGTACGGCATGATTACGAATTTTAAAGCGTTTACCAAATAAATTTTGCTCCTTTTTCTAATAGATTGAATTCGATTCAAGTCTCACTCTTGCAGTTGGACTCTCTAAAAGTCTGAACAACGTTCTCAAGTGAGGGAATAAAAATCCGGTATACCGAGACTGACTTTGTCGATGAGGGGACCATTACCGACAGACTCGATCAAGGGATATTCCGTGTGAGAAAAGATTAATCATTTCAATTTTCCAAAGAAGGCATTGGCATGACATCAGTCCCAGTAGAGGCGGAGAAATACCGTATTAACTCGAATATCATCGGCAAATTTGTTATTTTTTTGCGTTTTCATGCTTTAAATACAGAAAGTGAAATTTAAACAACGTACTTTCTAGAGACTGAAATGAAAAAATATGCATTTAGGCTCAAATCAAGCTAGTAGATGAAAATGTGAAACAAAAATAATGCAGCACAGTTTAACTTGAATTTAATTAGTATGAATTACTTACATTTTATTATTTATTCCCTACCATAAATAAATAAAGAAACAAATTTCCGCGTCAGTTGCTCGTCCTGCGTGGGGATCGCTTTTCCAAAAATCATCTGTCTCAAAAATTAAGATGATCGTCTTACATGAGGGCACACGGTACTCGAGTAAATAAGTGGTCACTGTTTTTTCTAACTGTCTGAAACAAAATTTTGAAACATTTTCAAACTTGATTCGTTTTTTTTTATTCTATAAAATGAATAGAATGGAGCAGCCCGGGATCTTTCTACTGTATGTAGGTGTGGGTGAGTTAGTCCATTGAGGGAACGGGGGAGTCCAAACCACTCGCAGAGTACGGGCCCCACTTCGGGGGCAACGCAACTCACGGAATCACCAGTGATCAACGCGTCGCTGTTTATGGACAGCGCTGCCAAATGAACAGTAGCAGACGGACCCGCACCGGAGATGGGATTATGATTCGGGATGAGCAGGCGTAGAGACGCCGTGCGCACCGGATTTGAACCCTGAGTTAACCCGCAGGAAATGCCGCCCAAAACGGCCCCGGTACCAACCGCTTTGCTTGCCGGACTTCCGCTTTTCATGGACGCCGGCGAACCACTCGACACTTGTGCGTTTAGAGGTGACGGTGATGCTGATGGTGGTAGAGGGGACGGGGATGTCGCGTAGCCATTCGACGTCGTCATGTCGATCCCCAGTCCTCCTGGAAATACAAGTACACGGAAGAACTCGGGTTAACGCGGTGCTGTCGCCTCGTAAATGCAGGGGCTCGTAATTACCCGAAGATCCGGGACGTGGGCTAAGTGACTGATGGCTGTGTAGATGGGGAACGCTCAGAGTCGCATGATCGCCTTGATTCCCGTATCCTCCGTTCACAGGCACGGTCACAGGTAGCGTGAAATTTCCCTGAGACCCGCCGACCTGGAAAAGTTGGATGGTGAACAAAAGCCACGCTTCTCATGCAAACAACGAAAATTCATTGAGAGTGATCGACTGATCTTCGAGATCTGGAATTTGTTTCTTGTACGCGTACCTTGTTTACCCAGAATTTAGACGCGTCTTTTTTTTTTCTCAATCAACTATTGCTCACTTTCGGGGTGGGCTTCAAATTTGAATCGAAAGAACAAGATAAATCGTGAATTTCGTTTAGAATGTGCGTCAAAATAATGTTTCGAATGCGTTGCTTGAGGAATATTTGTGACGAATTAGCAATAACGAAATGCAAGTGCCGGTAAATGAAAGGTAGACGAGAAGGGCAATTTTAATCTGTCAGTTCTTGTTCAAAATGGTGGAATACTATTTTTCTCAGCGCTACATTTTCTTCCGAGGATTGATCAGGGCTTATTTTCTTGGTTGGGCTTTCTTAATGACTGCGACATGTCGGGGGAAACACGATACTAAAAAATCAATGTCATCTCCCGAGGTATTTCCCCATCAGACGTATCTTATTATGACGATCGTTTTGAAGGGACTTGTGACAAAACTTGAACGTAGTACAACACTAAAAATCGAATCAGAGGCACTTCCCGTCGATTTCAGAGATTATCTTCGCTGCCTTTTGTACTTATTCCGGGGAACATTTGAAGGTTTCGTTATTTTCGAGTGGTGACATGAATCCGAGATTCTCGAATAGCCTCATTTTACACGATCATGATAATTTTCCATATTATTGGGACTTAACTACCAGTTTAAAATTACTCAGACTTCAACAATTTCGCATATTTTCAATTATATTGTTAATGGTTTAATATTGCGAATTTTTTGAATGAACTTGCCTTCCTGTTTCATTAAATTTCTTGTCATATTTTCAAAATGAACCCTCGATCTGTTGTCACGTAATGATAGTACAATCCTTTCGACCGATTCATTAAATTGGATGCAGTGCATGAAAATAAACCAGAAACTTACTCCACGTGGTACGTGGGCACATGTAAATGTTTGAACAAGAGGATTGCAGAGAATTTTCAGTAAGACTTCAAAGCTTTACGCTAGGTAGAGGACGGGGAGGAACTGTCCGGAGCTTTTCCTGGATATGAACGATCAAAGTTGCCGTGCTCCTCTCTGGAAACATGTGACTGCGTAGGCGTGGCACAAATATTTATATGCAATACGCTAATTGCAGGAGACTTCAGAAGAGAACACACTGTACACCTGCTTAATTGTGTGTAGTCTCTGATTATACTCGCTTTGAAGGATCCACGCACTCGATGTACACGACATGCACTACGTGGACGCTATGTCATCTGTCTTGATCAAACGATGGGGGGGGGGGGGTGTTTTTTATTTTTGGCAGGAAAATTTGATTTTAATTTTCTTGGGCCTCGTGTGATTTACAGTACTGTAGTACCCACCCGTGCGCCATTCAATTGGTTCCGATGCATCATGACGTGTTGCTGAAACTCCTCGTTGATCTTGGAATACTTGGCCTCCGTACGTGGGGTGAGCGAGGAGAAGTCGTGATCGGGGTCTGGACTCTCCGGACTGCCCATGGCACCATTTTTATGTTCCTTCTTGTTCAACGCCTGATGGCAAACAAGGACGCGCGTTTACAACCCGACGGTTTAACGCCACGCACACGATCAAACAAACCTCGACAATGTCCTTGTTGGTGAGTGATTCGTGCGGCTCGTTGTACTCGGTGTATTTCAGCAGCACTTTGTCCATGTCAGTGGAAGCGTACTGGTAAAGCTTGTTTGAGGAGCTGAAGATTATCAGAGCGATTTCGCAATCGCACAGCACGCTAAGTTCGTACGCCTTTTTCATAACGCCGAACTTCCTCTTATTGAACGTCACCTGGAGCGGATTCGGGACGGAAGGAAAAAGAAAATGAAATTAACCGCGGCTGAAGCGAGTAACGGCGGTTTTCGGGTTCTATTCCCGCGACGATCAGTCTTAAATCGGTGGGAAATCAAACAGGACGACGATGCATGCGAGTCCTGAGTGAGTGGGGTTCACTGTGACAGCCTCAGGAAATCAGCCTTAGCAGGTTGCTTTCTGCCATTTCCCATGGCGGCGGAATCGGGGCGATGGGAAGCAAACAAATCCAACCGCTCTGCGTCAATTTCACGAGACTTTTCCCCCATGGAGCCATCCTCATCAATTTGGGCTGCTTCCACACATAAGCAGGGAAAGCCCGTCAGTTCCGAAACCACGAAGAAACTGCTCTAATACGCTTCCGTTACAGAAGCTCGCAACCTTTGTTCCTCGGTCGCTCGAGAGATATAAAAGAAACAAAAACTGAATAAACTTTTAAATAAAGAAATATTGCCTGAAAAATGGACAGTTATGTGTACGTCTGTAGCTCAAGTGGAAAGCTGTGAGGATTCGAGGTAAATTGCGTTGGACAAATGTTCGCAGTCGAGGGAAGTTATTTTACTTGACGAGGACATACTTTTTTATGAGTGTAGAATGAAGTCCACTATAGATGGTAAATCGTTGCGTCTGCGGCAAAAATGTGTTTCTCCTGAACTGTATCTTCATTCGATTTTCTTCTAATTTCTCAAATAGTGAGAGAACAAATAATACGCATAGTACCATGTGCAGCATTTTATTTACGTGAACTACCACGCGCGACCTAATGTTCCATAAGAAACCGGAAAATACATTTTAAAAATCCAAGTGAACTTGTATACCAGCAGTCAGACGCACTCCCTTTATTTTTATTAAGATTGTGAGAAGAGCACACGCATCAATAACAGTTTTCTGATTTAATTTCACTTCGATTCTGGGGAAAAATGCAGCCGCAAACTTCTGCCCAATATCCTGTCTAAAGTTCTCGAGGGAGGAAAGTACGAGCAAATCCGCTTCAAATGAGAAATGTAACCACAAAGTTGTTTCGTATGCCTCGCTAGCATGCATTAATTAATATTTTTAAAGAGTAGTAACACCCGATACAGCAAAAGGTGTTCCATTAAGCAAAATTAATAATTTAAAAAATATTGAAGCCTAACGGAAAGGACTGAGACCGCGTTTAGTACTGTAGTTCGCCTTAAATGAGCAGGGGTAAACCTTGGTGGTCGAGCACAGGTAAATAATCTCCAGGGACCCAGTTGCGTTGAAGAAGGGCCCATCCACCCACACCGTTCTCCGCGTCTTTAACGGCTTTGGGTACGAGAAGGACCGCGTTAATGAGCTGCCCAACTAAGATACCTATATAGAGACAATCTCGGCAGCTAACGGACAACCTCTCAGTCCTTTCCGCACTCCGCACTCGAATACAGGCATCTCTCGACTTGGCCCTCTTCTGGCTTGAGTTCTTTGCGCTTCAGTAGAGCGGCCGGGGATTACTTCCGACACGCGGAAATGCAAAGGGTTTCCCGCATTGGGCCGAAACGGAGGGGGGGGGGGGGGGGGGGGGGGGCAGAAGGGGGTCAAAGGGTTTCCCGCATTGGGCCGAAACGGAGGGGGGGGGGGGGGGGGGGGCTGGATCAGAAGTGGGACAGGAGAATCCGATAGAGGAGAGGGGGCGAGGGAAAGTGAGAGTACTGTACAGTAGTGTACTCACCTGTCGGTTTCGTTCGTCCGTTATCCGAGAAATCTGGATCTTTTTCCTTCCCATAGCGTCGGCGGGTGAGCAAGTATGTGTTGTGGCGGATCCTGATGAGGCTAGCACTGCACTGACGACGACCCACGCAGGCTGGCTCGACGCCTTTTCTCTTTAATCTTTCCGCCTTTTTTTTCACAGCGCGCGATTAGCGCAATTAGGGAGACTAGTGCAGCCGCTTGTGGTGGTGCGCCCGCGATGACGTCAATTCATTGATTCGTGCACAGCCTCGCGAGCAAGTGCAGCGTCGACCTTTCGCACCGGTCAAAGGCAGGAAGCGCGGTTTAGATCCTCCGCGAACGTCAGCCGCGAACTGATGAATCCGGATTTTGCTCGCTCATGGGCTACCTCAGCCACAACCATCTGTAAACAGAGAGATCATGCTTTGATCAAACAGCTGATCTCACAAACACGCCTTTCAAGATTAGCGCACAAGTACCCACAGCAATTCTTTCCCTCCGACTCGAAAAATATTTGTGAGGGATAAGCGGCGAGGAAATAATCAACGCGGAACTGTCGCCGCAGTAGGGTAACGACTCAGCTGCTATTCCCTTCCCCGGTATCGTCGTTCTTTCACGCGCCGATGCCAGAACTCAAACAACAGGAATTCCACGCCGATTTCACATTCCCTCCGCTCTTCATTTGCCAACGACTTACCGGTTAAGTCATTCAAATTTGCTCGGCCCGCGCCGTGGAATCATTCCGAAGCTCTCCGAACCCTTTGCCCCGGCGTCGACAGCCTACGTCGCTTTGCGTTTGTGTCTCCTTCAAAGCCAATTAACCGCGGCCTGGCGTCGACGAAAGCCTGCCGGTCAACCATGCGACGGGTCTCCTTCCCCCCTTTTTTCGAAACCCGCTATTTTTGGCCCTGCCCAAAGCAGTGTCTGCTGAATTTGGCCGACTCAGGAATTCCAGGACGGTGTTCGATAAAATCAATTCTGCCCGCATTCCCGAATGCTGAACCCCAGCTGAGTGGTCGCATCTCGAGCATGCCATTATCCAATACGTCCAAAAAACCGAAAATCCATATCCCCGAAATCCCACGCTCGAACCTTTCTCTGACTGCTTCTGAGACTTCGCAACCACCCAGAACAAATCACGCCAATTATTATCAATAGCTTTTAAAATGTCAGTTCCGTGTTTAATCGACCGAAGACCGCGCTTTCCTGCAAAAAGGAAAACTGCTCAAGAACACCGGGGCGGCCTAAACTCGAGTTATTATGCGAGTGCATTCGGTGGACAAACTGAAATGAAAATGCGTTCTCCTTTCGAAATAATGTCTCGGAAATGTAGCGGCTTGGATAAGAGAGAAGATGGAACAAATAAATTTTAAATAATAAAAAGGCAACGTTCAGGTGGCAGCCTGCAAACTTTTATTCAAAGTTATATTCAACTTTAATTTAACTTTCTGAGAGCGGAAACCCTCTCGATGGAAAGTTCATACCAATTACTCGTATGGGTTGGATTTTTTCTTATCAAGACTCCCTTTTTTTTGCGGTTCACGGTCCTCTCAATTTTTGCTCAAAATAAGGATTCGACATATAAATCCCGAGGATTACAGGACCTAATTTTTCTCTATTAGGCCAAATAAACCACACATCCGCGTCGTCAATATCCTCAAAATCTTTCTTCGGCAGAACAAGCGAGACTCCGCCCCAGGAAGATCTCTCTTGCGCATTTCGCGCCCACGAAAAATATCAGTATTTCCGTCACCGGAAACCAACAAGAAAAGGGGAAAAGCAGTACATGCGGCCTTGAAGGATTTGAAAGGCCTAAACATACATTCACACAACTTTTAATAACTACGAGGCACAAAAGAGGACTTTCCCGCACTTATGGAAATACACACGCCGTCGATCTCGGGATGGGATTCGTATTAGGATACGCTGGCTTTGATGTGAATGAAGCTTTCGGCTCTATTCTGGTTTCTGAATGCTTGACGCCGTCCCGGAATATCCGTTTGAAGTCCCGAGATTTCCCGTCCAGTCGTCAGTGATTTCGCATTAGCGAAAATGCCGTCGAATTCCGTAAACGAAGAAGCACCCGCGTGTCGATTCAACTCGCCGCCGCCCAACTGACCGCACCCCAAGCGTTCTTTGAGGACAATTCGGCGCCACACCCAACTAGTCACCACCCTTGAGGTAGTCATGCACAAATGAGTGCCAGGGAAAATTCCCTGAGTGAACATTCCCCACTTCAATTTGATAATCGTTCATTTTAAAGGAAAGGGCTCCTGCATTTGCAATGAAGTTGGATTCTTCTCAAAGTACTGTACTGTAATCCTTTTCAATTCCCAAGATATTACGGAATTTTCAATCAATTAAATTTTTGTTGACCGCAAACTTGTATTCCGTCAGCAAAAGCAAGTTGCTGATGTGTACAACTTCAAAAATGGGGTGCATCTCTAAAAAAATTTATCCATTATGCAGTAGAATTTTCATCACAACAAAGCCATTTGGACCATAGACAAGTTTCGTTATACAGTACTGGACAAAGCGATTTTTATACAGGGATCCTGTAACGTTGTTTCTATTTGGCAGTGACCTAAAAATAATTCGTTGTATGCAATCAATCTTGATAATGATTTATTTTGTAACGATATTTTACTGCAGTGTATAAAACTTGACAAGATTCCATCAGACATAAAAGTACTGTAGCTATTCTTTCGTCCATACGTGTGAGCGTGCATAATGTATCACATAAATCGTACTTGAAGAGAATATATATTTTAAAACGCAAAAACAATTATTGGAAAAACAGTAATACAGTACCGAAGTTCCGCGGTATCATGTTCAGTTTTCTATGGCGCCCAGTCGATTCTCCATGGCGGCCAGTAGGTGCGTTGGATTAGGCGCCAATTCCTATAGGAACGGATCCCTGGGCAAACTGTTTTCGGGAACCACAACTCACATGGCTCAGCGTTTCTTTTCCCAAGATCGGTGATTGGATAAAACCGCGAATCGGGCAGTGCCATCTCTCGTAAAAAAAGACCAATCAGAGGCATATCTTTACGAGCGGACTCGCGCGTGACGCACACCCCGAAACGCTGCGAAAAACCCCCTCCTGCGCGTGTGGAGCAACTGGGAACCCTATAACCCCACGGAAGAGGACGCGTAAGTATCGCGGGTTGCTGACGATGCGGATCCTGGGGAATTTCCTTCGATGTCAATCTCCAGGCCCACGAAGCAGCTGGGTCAATACCGAGTAAGTTTCCCTCGTTACATCTTCGCGGAAAAAGGATGGATGGCATGTTGACGGCACGCGGGGGAAAATAAAAACAAAACAGAAAGCAGCAACAAAGATTCCCGTCGATGCGATGCGACGCGGCTCGCGATGACCGTCATCATTCAAAACCCCTCCCGTACTTCACTTGGCCAGCATTTTCATGCCCGTCGGCATTATGTAAATCCCCCGTCGTCAGCTACGAAGAGATGTAATCTCTTGGAAACTGAAAGAAAAAGTGGTTTTTCTATATACAGTATATAGTACTACTGTATGTCGAACCGACGCCGTTCAGACAACAACAAAAAAACGCTCATCAACCAGATCGAAGTCGCCTCAATTGACTTCTTTTCTTGTTTTATAATTCCAAGATTCATCCTTGAATTAACCAGCTTCCGCAGATACGTGCGATAAGGAGCATCCTTGTTAATAAGCAGCCATGAAAACGCAGGCCTACATTGTTTTCCTCGACTGTAAAATAAAAATCCCGGTAATACCCGGCCCATTCACAAAATGAGTACTGTACAGTATAAATTTCCACCGAACTAATCCAAGATCAATAAAATTTAATTTGAGAAAAAGTACAGTTCAAGGACTTCGTGGTGATTAAACTGGCGCAGTTGATTCCAGTTTTATTCCAGGATCTGAACCCGGCTATCAAAGATAGTCCTTTTTAAACGGAGGAACGCGAACCATTGTGGTGCATTGGAGCAGGACTGTCTTCGAGTTGAGGATTATACGGCACATTATTTGCCCGTATCTGTAAAACTTGAAGAAATACTCTGGGGCAGAATACTTCCTTTCCTAGACGTCGTTTGAAGCAAAAATTAGTGACTTGGACCCTGGCAAGTCAAATAATCATAGCAGTGTGGCTGTTCAGGCATTCTACTGGTATTACTTGCGCTTCAAGATGTGCAACTCGATTGATGCTCTGCCTAGCAAGGGGAAAAAGTCGCAACAAGGTGGCAAATCTTTTAAATGAAGAAGGCCCAATGCTCAGAGGACTACTGGATATAACTTCATAAATAATCTTCCAACAATAGGTCTATATTTTCTATTAGCTAACCGCATTTCGCCAAGAACGCTGTTCCCATGCATTATTGACGTAAACGTTGAATTAGATCATTAAAAACACATTAATTATTTACACCCACTTTTGCCGACTCCAATGAAACCTGAGCAAGGTACCGCATTGATATGCGAACATTTTCGAGCGCTTACACGAAATTTTGAACGAAAAATAAATGCGCTGAGTTCAAGTTTTTCGTATGAAAAAAAAAATGAACAGAAGGTACGCGTCTCAAGACACACGGACATAGGAAAACCATTGTTTTGTTGCGATAACTCACTCCAAGCAAGTCGACGTTATTTCGGTTTCCCGATTTCTCCCGCTGCCAATTATCTTGATACCGGGAATGACTTATGAATCTATTCCTCGCGATAATCATGACACGCAATCCATTCCGAATGACTGCCGTATTGGAATCAATCTCTCACAGCTACAAACATTTTAAATTTATTCCGATCTGAAACAGCGTAGCAGATTTCAGAAGAATGAATATTACACATACGACAGCGCAGAAAATTCGCTGTGTGCGGAAGCAGCGTGCGTGGAGCAAATTATTCAAACCCCCGTTTTCGCGAAAAAGTGACGTTCCTCGTGACCGAATCGGAGTGATGAGCGCTTTCCTTGTCGTGGATAATTTTCATGTCCGTGCGGATTGGGCCGTGTACGAAGGCTACAACGAGTGTCGCATTTACTCGAATCTAGTCCGCACGTTTTTCCAAACTACTGTAATGAAAATAAGTTTAAAACGCTGGCGCGGACTGCTGCGGACTATGTAAAAAATATTCTTATGCAGGCCGCAATGACCAGAAGAATCTTCGAAAAATGAAGTTCCTCAGATTTCAAGTGACTTTGACTTTCAAGATATGATGACAACTTCGAAGGTATAAATCTCAAGCATTGTTGATATATTAACCTGCAAGATGATATTTCCAAAAGGGAATCCAGTCGTAGTACATTTAAAAAGCTTTAAAATGTCCGCTGAAGCAGCGTTTTCCGTTCAAAATTTTAAAATTCGTCTTCGCATCCTTCCACATTTACTCAAATACACGGGTCACTTATTCTTCCCCTTCAT